ACATTTTTTAAAAATTATAGTAGTTTTTCCGCAATATTGCGAACAGAATGTGCAATTTTATAAAAAATTACAAAAAAGATTTTCTCAAAATCGGCTCAAAATTTTTTCTTTAAACTTTTGGTAGTGATAGTGCTAAATGCACTTTATAATATCACATAAACGCTATATTGCTCTATCCTTTTGTTTTTTCAAAAATGACAAAAATGTCATTTTTTTGCCTTGTCTCTCACGTCGTTGATACTTACATTAGCGGCAATTTGTTCACCTTATATTTATGAATACATGTGCTTTAAATAATGTCAGATAAAGTTTCTCGAAAACTGAAGTTTTTTGTGAAAACTAGCTGACAATTCTGCTTTTTTAGAAATGCTCAAACATCATTTTCTCAAAAACTGCTCCAATTTTTTCTTCAAACTTCTCGATAGTGCTAATTCCACTCTTTAATATGAAGTAAAGTTCATTTTGGTATATTTCCCCCTCAAAATGTACACCAATGTACATTTTTTAAAGGTATCTGACGCCGTTGATATGCACATTTCCAGCAATTTGTAAACATTATTGTATTTGTAAGTTAAAGTACTTAAAATGACTCAAATGAAGTTTTCTGAAAAGTCAAAACTTTTGTGTGAAAAAGAGTTTCAAATGTCGAATTTACAGTAGCGCTTGAACGCCAATTTTATTATTATTATTTTTTTTTAATGGCTCCAAGTTTTTCAACGAAAATTGCTATTTTGGACGTGGTTTTACTGTTCTTTAATAATCCTAAAATAATACAATTAGAAACCCGAAAAATAAAGGAAATATCCAAAAAATTGGGCGGCGATGGATGGCGAAATCGATTATCCGCAGCATTAGTTAACTTTCCCTATACTCCGTATATACATACTACGTATAGTGGAAAGTAGTCATCATTATTATTATTATTATTATTATTATTATTATTATTATTATTATTATTACAAGACAAATTAAAATTCAGTTCTATTCTTGTACTAAATACAATATCATGGAATGCTAATTAATTTTATTGATGGTAGTATAAGAACACACAAGTTAAAAATCAATAAGAATAAAAAAAAGTCTTCAAAGATTTGTCCCTGGTCTGGGTCCATCCTTTATATCCAACAACCAGTTGAGGGTGGTTTCAAAACATGCAACAGAAAATGCAAAAATTTTTAGTACTAGTTTATATTGATGTAGATACGTGCTTATGAACTACATACTCCTTTATACTGTAGAATGTATGGTTTAACAGGAAACCTTTCAGTTTATTTTGGAATGGGTGCATCAAGTTCAAGCTTTTAAATTTGCTAGGAAGTTTGTTATATAGGGTAATGCCTTCTATAAGGGAACTTTTTTGAAAGAATGAAGTTTCACTGTGTAGGATATGTAGACTTCTTTTCTGTCTAGTATCATAGTTATTAATTTCTATGGTCATAGTTACAGAATCCTTCTTTCCCATAAGTTTCTTTTTTGGGAATATTAATATTTCAAATATGTACATGCATGGGAGAGGTAGTATTTGTAATTTTTTGGTCGGTAATTAGCAGGACTCATGTTTGTGAGTGTTTGTCAATCTTCTCAAAATTGGTTTTTGGATTATGATAGTGTGAATACTTTCTGGGGAATTTCCCCAGAATATTATTCCATATTTTAGGTGCAAGTGAACATTTGCAAATTGCACCATTCGCAGTGTATCTAAGTTAGAATTTAACTTAAGAATGTATACGGCATAACATCACTTGGTAAGCTTGTTGTTTATATCTGTAATTTCGGAGTTTCATTTTAGATCATCTTGAACAGTCAATCCAAGAAAAGTTGTTTCTTGGGCTATTGGGCTTTGGCCAGGTGTGTTTTTTATCATCAATTGTGCTGGAGAATTTTCTTTAGAGAGTGGATTCCGAAAGTTTAGGGAGAAAGTTTTACTGGTGTTTATGATGAGTTTATTTTCCTGTAACCATTTTACTAGTGCCTCTAGGATTGTTTGTGCTTCTTTTTGTAGAGTTTGTTGGGAATTTGCTTTAATTATAATGTTTATGTCATCTGCAAGTAGGACCATTTTGCTCTCTTGTAGGATCAGAGGCATGTCATTGATGTTTGATAGAAATAGTATGGGGTCTAGGATTGAATCTTGTGGCACTCCATAATTTATCATTCTAGGTTGGGAAAAATGGGTAGAAATCTTTTTATTCTTTTTATCTCTGACATGCTTGATTGTGACTACTTGACAACGATTTCAAAGGTAAGATTAAACACATTGATGTGCAGTGCTTCTAATTATCAAAGTTTCAAGTTTGGATAACAGTGTGTAATAGTCAATAATGTTGAATGCTTTTGATAAATCTAGAAACAAACCGATGGGGATTTTTTTCTGATCTGAGTCTGTAGATCCACTATTTCTAAATTAATGCTGGGCTTTTGTCAGCATTCTGCTACAAGGGGACCAAAAAATTGAGAAAATGTGAAATATGTATTTTAGTAATCCGATAGCTTGTAGTTAGGAAGTGGGTGAGGGCGGAACCTATAAGCTAACCTAGACGAAAGAGATTATGAAACTGTCGAACTAATAAAAGAATCTGCGCCATTCTGTAGCTCCACGTATTCTCTCCGTACGTACACTGTACAGCAAGAACAGTCACGTTAATTTTTCTTTCGGGGTAAAGCATTTTTAGAAGTTTAAATTGCGTTGGCTTTGATAAAATCAGCTGAGTCAATAGTGTGATCGTAGCATTAGTTGTTACAGTAGCGATCATTCTGAAAATTAAATTTGAAGAAAATGCGCTTCTGGGTCAAATATCTCGAACGTGGATTACAGTTTTCGAGTTGACAAGTCGATTCGATTTTCCATGAGCACCGACTGTCTGATCGCTGGTTCTGACTGACGTTCTGACTTTTCTGACGCACACTGACGTACACGGCTACTGACCTCTGTTGAATTAACAAGAAAGTAATTGTTGTTGGAAAGTCAAGTGAAATGAAACCAGAATGTCCCATCACGAAGGAGAGACTGGGAGATATCTACTTATTTTGAGGGGAGCTACTTGGTAAAAAGAGTTCACTGTTGTCATTCTGTGATTTCGTTCTGGTCCTGTTGTTGCCAGAAGACATAATCTTTCACAGTCAAACGGCCGCCAACCGCATTGAAACAGGATACTAATTGTGCAAATGTCATAAGAATTTAGTATTCACTGTCGTTATTTAGCAAGTACTGATTAAACCATTTTTTGGAGTAGTGCCCAAGCAGAATCATTTATGAGCACAAATAGTTGAAGTTCAAAGAATCCTCCTTGAGTGTAAAGGACTTTCTCAACCTTTTGATAGCTGGGAAATCCTTTGGGTTTACAAATAAACTACCTGTCAACTCCCAACCATTAAGGAAAAGTATTATTTGCTTGAATAAAAAAGTTTGTACTCTCTGAGTATGCCCTTAAAAATAAAATTTATTTAATCTGTGCAGACAATTTAAGTAGTTTTATAAGGTGTAAATCTGTCTTGTGTTCATCCCTTCATGAAATGCCTCTTCGGCAGGATTAAGGAATACTCACAAGTGCTAGATAATAAGGTTATAAGTGTGATGTAACAGTATTGGGCTTTCCTTTTAGTGTTGAATATGATAGAGATCTCATGTGCGTTGTGAAGTGGTTTAGTAACATTTTGGTGCATTAATATATTTCTACAACAATTGATTGAAGTTGTAATGCCTGTGAATTTGTGTATTCTTTTTACTTGCACCAAAGGTGTGTAATGGTGACACTGTAGTTTGACTTTCATGACAAAAGTACTTCTCTTTTGTGAAGTTCCTTTAAAAGAATAAAAGTAAAATGTTAGGGAACAGAAGAGAAATTATTTTTATAGTGCTAGAATTTGCAGCTCTAAATAATTAGTACAAAATGATCTTCTAGATGATGTGAGGTATTGTGTTGTTTTTTTCCTGAGCATGTCAGATGCAAATCTGAAATAAAAGGTCAAAGAAAAATGAGAAATGAAGAATCCTAAATCTCCAAAGAAAATTAAACAATAAAAGCGTGGTGGTTACTAGGCTGAAATATAAATTATTTCTTTTTATGATTGTAATATTTTATAAGCGTGGTGTATGAAATTATTATTTTTTATCACCAATTTCTTTCTTCACTTCATGAAATAATGAAAATGTTTAACAATATTATTACAAATTGTGTAATTGTTTCCTTCATACAACTGAAATGTAGTGCCTCCTTTTCACCTTTTCTTCATGTTACTATGTCGGTGCTTGTAACAATTCTCATAACAAGAGTGATGTAGATGTTCTTTATCTCTGACTATTGAAGGGGTCAGCAGAACAAGGGGCTATCCCACATTGACAGAGCTTTGAGATTTTGAGGGTTTTATTAGAACTTTCATAATATAACTCAGTACAGTTTTAAACTTATAAATGCAGCACACTTGCATATAAGCCCTTACTGGATTTAAATAACATATTACACTAAAAGAATAATATTGAAGATTTATTTAATGCTAATAACTCAATTTCACAATAAATATGAGATATCCCTGTGCTCTACTGAGCTCTTCAATTATAGTAGGCTCTAGACCTTCAGAATTGGAATGATAATGAGAACAGGCAACTCCTAAAACAGATTTAAACAACAATTTCTGGTTGTAAAAAATGTGAAAATGTGCCCAGATTCTTACCTAGTGCATAATTTTTTTCAATCATATTCATTGAAACTTATTACTATTGATATTCATACATAATTGTAAATCAGTTTTTATAAAAAGAAAATCGGGATACCCATTTCCTGCCATTTCTAGTTCAATGAAATCTCTTTACCAGACAAGCTCCAAAAAGGCCTTGAAAATTGTCAGTTGTGATGAGGTGTCTGTCCGTTTAAAGTATCCATTCAGAGTTTTTAATTGCAATTACAAAATAGTGAATAGTGTATTATGAGGTCTGTACATCTTAACTGTGTGTGAAGCCCTTTTATGACATCTAAAATTGTTTTTCTTTTTTTGTGGTGCAGGTGGCAATGGTAGGCGCCATGTGGTGCTCAGGCCTCTCCTAAACCGATTGTCTTTCTCTGTGAACATGGGTGGTGCTCTAAGCAACTTCTTTCAGTCAGGCAGTGCCCTGCTGTCAGCTGGCAATCACCGAGGGGTTTCTGAACACACTCGAGAAAAAGTTCAGATAATTTTTGATGCACTTCGTGCTAATCCTAGAGTTTCTGTTCAACGACTGGAGGGTTTGCTCTCTCAGATACCAAAGGCAAGTTCTTTGTCCATGTGATAGACTACTTGCAATATTTTTATAATTGTAATTTGCTGGTGAGAACAGAATGAACTTGTCAGTGCTTATTTTAACTTGACTTAAGTGCTTAATAATGGTCATGAAATATATTTAAATTGCAGTGTTGAGTTATTTGCTCATCTATAGATGCAGTAATAATCAAACAAAATAATTTAAAAAAATGTTTTGTAAATATTTTAGATAAGAATTTAATAAATAATGATTGACATGTAAACAATATTAGCTAAGAATCAGCCAAGGATATGTCAACAAACAATGAAGAAATATAAGAATCAATGAAGAATCATAAAAGAATAACTAATATTAGCGCATGAAATAAGAGCTCACCGCTCACTCTCGTTGACTCAGCTAGCTGCATTGATTCATGTTCTTTTGCTTGGTGATAAACACTCCTACTTGTCCCAGAATATTAAGTTCAGAGAATCTTGGCTGTTGGGCGATTTCCAGCCATGCCTGGAGTATTGCCCTATTCTCATTATGAACTTGAGAGTGAAATGCGGTGATGCTTTTGAGATAAGGTGGATATGGTTGATAGCAATGCAATTAATTTTAGTTTCATTCTATCTCTAACTTATGGCAGTTGTCACAGGAACAATGACCCAAAGAATTTTGAAATTCACCAATGCTGTTTCAATATAGGTGTTCAGAAAATTTATTGAATAGAATGCGAGATATAATACCAGAAAAATGTACTTTCTTTAGAAGGAAAGAACACCTTACAAAAAAATATTTCAAATACTCTATCGTCTAGTTGCTTCAGAAAGAAGACCCAGATATTCTACAAATCTTGTGATGACTACACAAAAATGCCATGCCTTGCCACTGTTAAATTGACCAATAGTGTGTGTTATAAGTGTATGATTAGCAATGCAGTAAATGATTGTTACAATGAAAAGTAAAGCTGTTCCATTTTTATTAGTTAAAATTTGTTTCTATAGATATTTTCTTCAAGTGTGTTTGAAGTAGTGTGAACGAGAAATTGTTCTAAACTTTTCATTTCATGAATATCAATGCTTATTGTGCTCAGAATTTTTAAAATGAAAGTATGTATTGGTTTTATCACAATATGCTTTTGAAATTTTGGAATATAAAATATTTCTTTAACATTAATGCCAATATAATTAAAATTATTTCTATGAATATTTAGTTTTAATTTTTTGGATTTAATAATTAATATTTTGCCCTATTTTAACAGAATGAGAATATATTGCTAGTTCACAATGAAGAAGGATACAATCTTCTGCAAAAGTGTGTTGGAATTAATAATGTAGATATGGTGCGATGGATTCTTTCAAGGAATACTGATGTGAATCGAGGAGCGTGTTCCCTTCCTCTGCATATTGCTTGTCTGAAAGGGTATGGTGTTTCAGAACATTCCAGGGTTGAAGTAGAGAATACAGTACAACTTAAGGAAACTGTTTAAACTGGTAGTTTGCACTGCTCAGATGAAGGGGATGTCCATGATGGAGGAATTTGGAGAAATTAGCTGTTTAGTAGTAGCATTTATGGTCAAGGGTATAGGGTGGTGTTCTTAGTTCTATCCGTTGAGTCTTGTATTGTTCATTGTGTAGTGTTTATTTAGTAAAATGTGATAAACAGTAAGATGGATGTTTTTGGAGATCTAAAGTGAAAAAGTGAATGCTTTTCAGAAACTAATAAAATATATCTGTATTTACCATCTATAGTTTTTTCAAGACATATTTTCGTCAAAAATTTCTCACTATTTATACATTGAACAAACTGAAGATTTTTTATGTAATACTGGGTAAGAGCCAAAGACCTGAATCTTGAAAATCAATAGCAAAGTGTCAACTTGGAAGTAAAAGTAATTTGGCATAAAAATGCAAGTGAATTTTTGTGTGCAAAGCAACTGAAATGTATGATGTTTTGTAGATACTTCACTTGTACAGTGTGGAACTCCAAGTTAATTTTTTGCAGGTATAAGGTAGATGCATTCACAAAATGTGTAAGTTTTATTAATTTCCATGCAAATAGTTTTTGTAATTTTATAGCAAGTATGGGGAGACCTGCTCCCTTTTATCTCCCTGTCCATACCCCCCCCCCCGCACCTTTCTGGCACCCACCTCTCAATCACTATTTTTAAGGATGTACTGAATTCTCTACTTTAACACATTTCAGATTGTTTTCCTGAATTATTTTCTGTTACAAAAAAAAAAAAAAATTATGGCAAACATTAATATTACCAACAATACTTGTAGGTATGAAGATTGTGTAGAAATTTTGCTAAAACATGGAGCTCGTATCGATGTTGAAGCTCGTATGTGTTGGCCTGGTCCTCATAATCAAAATTGTGAAGAACGAAGCAAATATTGCCTGCCAGATGAAGGGGTTGCAGATCGGTCCAGCGATAAATTACAAAGTTCTATTTTCTATGCTATTGATGGAGACCAGGTAAGATTTATTCTAATGTGATTGTAGGGGATATTGCAGTTGAAGAATTTGAAGGTAGTAACGGAGATACCTAATGTTTCCTCCCGTGTGCTGATACTACTCTTCACCCTTCTTCCTTTTTTTAAATCTATTTATGGTCAAAAAAATGTAAAGTAGTCATGCTACAACATGTACTTTTTTGTCTCATCAGTAATTGTTATGTGGACCTTAACATTTATATTTTATTAATTAGATATGTGTATTTGTGTGTACTTTCCCATATTTGAGTAAAATAAATAAAAAAATGAAGAAGAAAATGGAGCAATTATGAAGATAATTTTGAAAATATCTTAGTAGCTTCACTATACCAAAAAATTAAAACATTGGTTTAAAATTCACAAGGCCTTGTTTGTAGTCTGATGGATCAAGGAATATCCATTTTGCAGAAAATCCTTAGGACAGTTTAGGGAATAGTGTTGACAAAGAAATGGTTTAATTTTTTTTTTTCTAGGGACCTCTTACATTATATGTATTTTTATCAAAATCTGAAGACAGTGTATTTGTGTGTTACTATACCACAGTGAAAGGATACTATCTATAAGACAGTGAAAGGAAGGAGGGGTAAAATCAGGATATTTTCTTCAGTTGTAGAATCCTTCTCTCTTTCTTACATTGCATATGTAGTTGATTAATGAATGAAGATAACAATGATTAAAGGGCCAAGAGAATTGGGAAGGGAAGGGTTGTTCTGTTTGCACAAATGGTCAATTTTTATTAATATGACTGATGTAAAATTCCCCAAATTGTAGTTTATTATTAGATTATATGGATTTATATCATAAAATAATTAATTATCATCATTGCTAAGATTAGACTTTTCAGTCTGTACTGGCTTTTAGAGTTACTTACTCCATCTTCTTAGTGGTCTTCCCATATTTCTTCTCCCTCTTGGCTTATAATTCAAAGCCGTTATGGTTTTACTCTCTTCTGACATTCGTAGTATTTGGTTTTTCCGTTTTACTCTGCATAGTTTAGTGTTTTTATTTACACTAACATTTTTATTTCTTTTCTAATTTCTTCATTTTTAATGTGATCAAAAAGTGTGTATCAAGCTATATTTTAGAGAAATTTAATTTATGTTCATTCACTTCTCATTTGATCTTTAGTTTGTGTCCAGCTTCAACGTCTGTATTATAAGATGGGCAATACCATTATTTTATTTAGTTTAATTATTGTTTTTTGGAACTTTATTTTTCAGTGTGTGTGCTATTGTACCACAAAAAATGACTGTATTATGATTTAATTTTACTTCTAGGTCGCTATTTTTGCAACATGTTATTTTATATCCCAAGTCATTGAATGTTTTAACATGTTTATTATATTATTGCCAATATTTATTATTATATTATTTTATTATTACATTGTTATGGTTCATATCCTTTGAATACCATGATTTTTGTTTTTTCTGTAGATATTGTTGTATTGTTAGCTATGACATTGTTCAGCTACATAATTCAACTTATGTATTGCTTCTTGAGTACTATCTTTCATAGAGCTTATTACTAATACCAGGTCACCTCCAAGTGGTAGAATTGTAAAATTTTTGTTGTTTATAATGATCTGTCAATCTTCCTCTTATATCTGATCCTTATTGGTTTGAACTTCCAGATTAATTTTGGAAATCAGTTGTTCATTCTCTGTAAATGATCTTTCCATCTCCCTTGAGACTATTCTATCTCTTCTACTAATCATTTGGTTTTCAATTTCTTCTGATGTCTTAATTTATGTCTATCTCTTCTTGTGATTCTCATTCCCATTCCCATGTTGGGACTTAGAAATCTCATATGTGCTGCCTGTAGTTTTTGTTTGTCTCTTTCTTTCATTACACATGTTTCAGAGCCATACATGATTTTAGGTTTAGCAGCTGTATTGTGGAGTTTGTTTTGGTTATGGGTCCATGTTCCTGGCAAAGTGTCTCTTAATAATTCCACATATTCACAATAGTAGTTATTAAGTTTGTTTTCTATGCCTTCCTGAGTTTGGTTCTATATATTTATGAAATTTCCAAGGTATGAAAATCTGTTTTCTTGTTCCACTAATCTTCCAAATATTACTATTTTGGCTCCTCTTTGTTCCTTGCCTTGTATTGCTATAATTTTTGTTTTCTCAACTGCTATCTTCATTGAATACTTGGGCCACTTTTGTCATTTCAAAAATTGCGCTTTGTAGATTATCTTCAGAATTCATTACGATAGTTTGGTCATCAGCATACAAGATTGTGTCTATCTTCTTGCATTTTGTGATCTGTATTCCTTGTCTATCTTTCCTTTTCCAGTTTCTCACTAAGTGGTTTGTGTATATGTTGAAGAGGAAGGGTGATAATGCACATCCTTGCCTTAAGCAACTGTTGGTTGATATTGCTGCCGACTTTTTCCCCCCCTTTTAACAGTATTTAAAATCTTGAGTTCTTGTAGAGACTTTGTATTGCATTGAGCAACTGATTTGGGACTTTCTCATTTTTTAGTATTTTCCAGAGTTTCTGTCTATTAACTTTGTCATAAGCCTTTTCATAATCAATAAATATTATAAAAGTTGGTAGATTCCTTTCCCTTCTTTTGTCTATTAACATCTGTAATGTAAAGACGACTTCTACCTTTTGGAGTCCACACTGCTCAAATTCTCACATATTTCATTGGATCTGTTCATTAGCATGTTTGTATATAGCTTAGAAGCTGTTGACAGCAATGTAATGCCCCTATAATTGTGACATATCTTCTTTGAGCCTTTCTTGTGAATGTTAATAACCAAACCCTCTTGCCTCTATCAGAATTCTTTTCTCTTGCCTTACTCAGTTAAAAAGTTCTAATAACATTTCTTTCAGCTCCTTTCCTCCATATCTTATGAGTTCTATGTTAACCTCAACCATTTCATTTTCATGAATGGTTTGTAGCCTCTTTTCCTGCTTCAATCATAGTCTAAGCGAACTCCAAAATGTCTCAATATTTTGTTTCTTTACCTTATGTAGTTTTCTTCAGTCTTTTTTCATATAAGGTTCTGATACTTTCATCTTTTAGAAGGAATACCTTGAATTTTAGAGGTGTTTTAATACTATTTTCCTTAGTTTTTGTTTGTTATAATGAGAGTTTAATTTTGTACTCTACCAAATAGTGGTCTGGGTGTATTTCACAACCTTGAAATACTTTAGTGTTCTTGACATGGTTAAATAAGTTTCTGCTGACTATTATATAGTCTAGGATGGATCTTGTACCCCTTGCTTCCCAAATGAATTTGTGGTTTTCTTAATGTTTGAAAAGACTATTTGTTATCCTTAAATTGTTGAACAGGCAAAAGTTAAATAGCGTTTTTCCATTTCCATTTATTGCTTTTTCCCCCTTCTGGGCCTTTGCATGGAAGTATTTCTTTATCGCCAATTCTGACATTAAAGTCTCCAGATATATTGAGAAGCTCATTTTTACTTACTTGGTCTACCAGTTGTTGTAGATCTTTGTAGAAACAGGCAGATTCTTCTGCTTGTTCTTCAACTGGAGTGTATACTCCTATTATATTTAGTTTGTATTTGTTCACTTTTAGTTTCATCCTTATTAGTCTTGGAGATATCCAGTTTTATTCATCTATGGAATCTTTTCATTTCTTATTTACTATTATAGCTACTCCTGCTGTGGTATGTTCTTCTTTGCAGTTTCACAAGGTCATGGCACCCTTGACACCCTCTTACACTTTGATTGATATTTGTAGCTTCTTTTCAATTTTCTGTAGTTCTTATTTTTATTATATTTAGTCTATACAGACTCTGAATAGATTTTATTAAATGTTTTGGTACTACTTTTATATTAGGAAAGAATGATCACTACATGATCTTCCTTTCCTAAACCTAGCCTTTGGGCTTCCAAAATTTTGTTTTCCATTATTGGCCTTAACTCTCTACCTATAATTTTTGCATAATTAATTATCCACTTATTTTATACAGTAGTGTATCAAATAATCTAATTATTTATTTTATTAAACAAACCGTCATCAGTGCGTCTTCTGCTGTCGATCCATTGATCATCATTAACTCCTTTTAAAAATGAGAACCCTTGGGAACTGCTGGGTTAGATTACGTTAAAAAATAGTCTCCATCTCATGAAATGAGTTTCATTAAGCAAGCTAAAAATGTGAATGTGTATCACTATTTTCAAATATCAAAGTATCCTTTTTTGTTGATGAAAAGGAAAAATTGATAATAAAGACTAATGTACATTTCTTAACTAAAGGTATGCAAAATTGTGTGTTACATCCGATTGTAATTTCAGATCGAAGTATAAAGTGTTAAGGAATAACCCATTCAATAAGTTTATATCTCTGCAGGTTGCAAATGATCTTCATAAATGCAGTTTAGCCCTAACAATGAAGTGGAATTTTTGGGGTCTTTGTTGTTGTTTTTCCCCTACGCCCAACTTAGAACTCAATTCAATAAGTGCATTGTTTACCCTCTCAGAAAAACCCTGCAAATTGAGTCTTAATTTGATATCGAATCTGTGCCTTACAGCGAGTTCATGAGCAATGAGCAATATGGGAAAGTATGTTTTTCAGTTGTGATGTGTCAAGAGTCAGTTTAAGTTCAGTCATGTTTTTTCTTCTTGTTATTAGGTAGATATTCTTGAATTGCTTACACAGCAAGGAGAAGACAATTGGCTGCCCTGGCAGCAAAAGAGGCCTCTTCTTCATATTGCATGTGAGCGTGGAGCATGGCATTGTGTGAAATATCTTGTTTCTGAAAGATCTGATGAAGTTAATCAGTGTTATGATGAGTACTATCCAATTCACCAAGCAGCATTGCATCATATAAAATTTCTGGAATTATTGATAAGGTATGTATCGTGTTGACACCCTATATGTCATAGAGTAACAAGTTTTCTGTACATTTTGGTGCCTTTAATCACCCTTCTCAAATACTAAATCAAACTCTCCATTGGGATTTAGTGTGAAGGTGACTTTTAAACTATTGTGGGTAAATAAACACTGTTATGTAAAACAGACTTCTCTAAAGCATGTGTTTGAAGAAGTGTGTTTATTATTATAACATTTGTATATATTGTCATGTTCATGTATGGGTATGCAAGTACAGAATCTTTATTTTATCTTGCAACCTATGTCTGGGAGCCCCTGTTCTTGTTGTGGCAATTTGACAACCATCCAGTGGTATTCCCAGCACCCATGATCCTTCAGGTTTAGAGGTAGGGCAGTGTGGATTTGGGTTGGTAGGACGAGGAAGAACTTTTCCGTTCAAGGACAGTCACTCTTTCTTACTCCATTCATACTCATGAGAACTCACATGTAGGAAAGTAGAATCTCTAAAATTGTCATTTTAAGGAATCCTAACATTTTCATTAATTATGTCCAATAATTATTGGCTGCTCTGATCGGTAGTTTTTCGTGGATTCTCTGATCAATATTAGGTGAATACTGGCGCAGTGCCATAACAAACAAGCCACAAACTGCAAACAATCATTCCTTTCCTTTCCTCGTCCTATCCTTCCCTGGTACTTAAACACACACTTGCATGATCTACGAGTACTATACCACATATTGGGTTAGTCGGGATCTGTTGGGAGCTTACATTTTGTCCCAGTTGGGGTGGTGTCCCACTTGGAAAATATCTGGAGCAGAAATTTCCCACAAGCCTACATAAAGGTTGTCCCTGAATGTCACCATTCGTCTTCATAGAGATCAATGGGAGAGGAAAACAGCTACCTCCAGGCCTAAAAAATATCATCATCATCATCATCATGAACTGACCAGAAATTAGGCTCTGTAGCCTGTTTCTATTGGTTTATTATAGTGTTATTAGTAGATTATTAGTCTTCCAAGTGTTCCTACTGTTGCCACCTCTTTAATGGTCTCCCTATATCTCTAATCCTCATTGATTTGTACTTCCAAGATTAATTTTAGAAATCTGTTGTTATTCATTCTCTGTAAATGATCTTTCCATCTCCTTTGAGAGTGTTTTATCTCTTCTACTAAACATTTGGTTTTCAATTTCTTTCTTTCAACACAATTATAATGTAAGGTAGTCATAATAGTATAATTTACAACATAAGAATCTAAATTTAAAAGTAAGCCTATGATGTCAGAATTCTTATTCATATCTTAAAAATTAAATTTAAGATTTTTGCAGTTACAGCAACAGTTAAGATCCAGTATATTTTTTATTGAAATTTTAATTCTCTTAACAGACAGATTCGATAAAGATGTAATTATATGATTATTAAGGTTTTAAATAACCACTTAAACAAGAAAATAAACACTCGAGAAAATAACTAATCATTCAGTCAATATTAATATATAAAGTGTAAAGCACTTAGTTTTGAACTGATTGGGAAGATCCTAGGTGACGTGAATAAGGGCTCATTTGAAAGCTTGGGGTGGATTAATTTTTAAATTGGGTGCCCATGTCTTATGATTTGTCAGGAGACTGGAAGTCTAATTTAATTGGCGGTTCAATTAAAATACCTGTAATTGTTATTTATTAATGAATTTAATTACGTTTCTTTATAAATGTCTACCTGGGGTGGTTTTTCTATCCAGTAAATAAGTTATATTTGCCTGAATTTGTCATTCTTTATCAGTTAAATTCCGCAAGTAAGGATATTGTACATTTAGCTTGTTTGCTTTCAAAATGAAATTGCCAAAATTTTGTTCAAAACATTGCAATATTGTATTTTAGGTTTTGTAATTTTAATGTTTATTTTTTATTGTGAATTTCTAGTTCCTTATCGTTGTGTTTACTCTTGCAGTTGTGGAGCAGAAACAAAAGTACGCACTGCTACACAGCAGATGACAGTCTTGCATGTGGTATTCCTAATAGGTCGCAAATCAGCTGAAGACACTTTGCAGACATGTAAACTGTTGCTCGACCATGGTTTGCGAGAATTGATTAATGAACCAGATTCGCTTGGCAATACCCCTCTCCATGGTCTCATAGTGCGCTATGCCTTGGAAGAAGCCCGTTATGGATATGATCATGACAACCAGCCCTGGAACAAGTGGGATGTGTTGCATTTGGTAAGCAATCGTGTTGCACATTTCCTGCCCTCCTAATATTTATTTTCTCACTAACAGTTTTAGGGAAGGTTACATAATGCTGCAAAACATTGATGCTGAGCTTTTGCCAGAAACGTGATTTTGAGATTCATCTTACCACAAAAGGATTTGTTTCTTTTTTTCCAAAGACTCTCTATCCATCCATCTGTTAGTTTGTCGTCTTGACATTATATGCCCCATCAGGGCAATGGCATTGGCGCTGTCAGATCTTGGGTTTCCTAATCTGTCACCCAATCGGGAACCTGTGATGTCTCGAATTTGCTAAACCTTCATGATTTCACATAGTTACCAAATTTGGCTAGTAATGCTATATTCACGGTCATGGTCTTTCACTAGAACCATCCCAGCATTCACTTGGATGACTGAGGGAAACCACAAAAACCCGGATCAGGATAGTCAGCACAGGGATTGAAACCAGGCCTTCCAAATGCAAAGTCAGCACGTTATGCCCTGAACCACTTTGTTCGGTCTTTCCTAGCCCACTAGCACCTAAACCAATCATAGAATTTCCCCATGGAATCTTTAGTGATTGATCTAACTGAATACGAGATCCTGAGATTCGAAATTTGTTTTTTGTTGAAAGCCATATTGCATTTTTAGAATTTTCTCATAAATGGCTCCAATATTGTTCTTACATTTTTTTACTCGCATACGGCAAAGTGTACTTATAAATGCAGTATAGAACTGATTTTCAATAAAACTGAAATTTAAAAAATTGTAGAGGTATAACTTTTCCAAACTAGTCCTACAACTTTAATAACGATGTTGCAAATTTCTTTCTGATTGCAATCATTATTAGATCTGTAAATCATTTTCATTTATAATTTTTTTATTTTAATTACAAGTTCTGGCCAAAATACTTCCTATATTTCAAAAGTCAGTTACAAACAAGAAAAGCTACAGAAAAAATACTTTTATTTGTGGACAACCAATACTATGTCATTTTACGTTATTTAGTTTTAAAAATGATGTCCAAAAAATGGTGTCCTCCTTTGTTGACACGTTGTTCCAGCCAGGATAGGATTGCCGAATTCTGTATTTCTAATTTTCCCCAGACATGTTGATGATAGTTGAAAATTAGTTTTACAATTTTGTAAAACATTTAGGTGACTCACTTTTGATAATAAGATTACTATATTTGAATATAGCTGTATACATGAATTGAATTTGTTTGCTATCAACCCTTCACACTCCTATGTCAAGTGGAGCTTCACATTGCAAAATTGGTCTTCTGCTCCAATGTCAAGTCCTACTTGAGAGAGTTTTTGTTCTTTTCTTAGTTCCGAATTTGTTCAAATTTTGAGAGGATGCACACATCTGTGATGGTAGATGTGTATCATGCCCATTGTTGAATAATTTCAAATGTTGGGTTATTACACTACTAATTAAACTAATGTTGATATAAACCAAACAGACATTTTCTATATCTCATTTCTCATTACTATAGCTCAGCCATCCTACAAAGAACATAGAGTGCGAATAATTCAAAGGTATTCATTGCT